TACCTGAGGAAGATGCCCAGGCTGAAGAACCTGGAGGGGGACATTTTCAAGATGACCCCCAACCTACGGCAGCTGGATTGTCAAGACTCCCCAGCCCTCATCTCTGTCCATACACACGTCTTTGAAGACACTCCTCATCTACAAGTCCTTCTCTTCCAGAAGTAAGTGTTTCTGAGACAGGACTGAATTTTGCCCATTGCACTGTGTTGGATATGTGTAACTATTTTACAAAACAAACAAGATCTTAATGTTTTTCTCCCGCTGTTCCTTCACATCCCCTCCGGGTTTTGTTCTTCCTCATTCTTTGGATGATATCTTGGGCAAGTCACAGACAGTCCATCTGGCCTGATAACCATGCGACTCAGTCCTGTCCAGAGTAATATTAAAATTCAAACTCTTCTGCACTTAAAGTTTTTCCTGTGCACAAGCCCAGGCTGTAAAAACTGCAGTGGGGAAGAGCAGACAAGGGGATCAAGTTCTTCTCTCTTTCTGGATCCACCTCTTTCCTCACATGCTATGCAAGTCCTGTCCCTTCTAGGGTTTGAGGAGGTCTAGGGAAGAAAGGTAAATGGGCAGTAAAGGTTCCACTTGCAGTTGGGATCTGGGGTTGGTGTTCTCCGGCCTGGTGAATGTTCAAAGTGTCTCCATACCCACCCTCCTTCCCAAGAGTAACCACTGTCCTGACTTTTAACAGGAAGGATAGTGTCTCTCTGGAGATGATTCCTGGCCACCTCCTTTCCTTGGGACCCACACCTGGGCCCTAGGAAGCAGGCACCTTGGCCCTCTCATCACTCCCACAAGCCGTTACTTCTTTCTTTTCTCTGCCAGGTCCAATCAACCTCTTGTCTTTATATTTCTCACACATGAGTCAGACAAAGTCCTTTTCCAAGAGGTAGTCTTGAAGCCTGCTTACTCAGTTGCCTTACGTTCCAGGAAAGGAAGCTTCATTTGACTCAAGGGAAACATCCTCTCCCTGCACCCATTGTGGTTGGGGGTTCCTCCAAAGCAGTCTTGATGACCTAGGCTCTTCCACCTTCTGACTCCTCATAAGGATCAGATGTGGGTGATGGGTCAGTGTAACCCATTGCTCAGTCTCTTTGCTTGTCCTGCACAGGTGTTCTAGTGCCTCACTTTAGGATATTTGGGTCCTTTGCACGCCAGGCATGGTTCTCAGCCTTTTGTAGTCCCTGTTGAACCTAAGACTGAAACAGTCTCATTTTAAACATCCCGTTACTTAACAGTTATTTCTGTGACCCTGGCCATGGCCATGTGTAAAATATTAGGAACGGCATCAGCTTCCAGTCTCACTTCTGCTGTGAGATTTTGTGCTGACCAACTCACTAGAAGCCTCATATCTTTCATCAACAAAAGAGTGATAATAATACCCACCCCCACCTGCCTCTCAGGGTCCAATGAGGTAATGTAATGAAAACATTAAAAAGTTTTGCAAATATTGTTGGATGAGAGTAATGTTATTATTAGAAAACCCCCGGGAAATCTAGGAGCAGGTCTTGTGATCTCTGTTTTATACAGTGAAACTATGTGCAGCTATGAAAGATGGAATTATTTTTCCAAAAGGATTAACAGTTGTTCAAAAGCAGACAGAACCATTTACTCATCCTTTCCTTCCTTCAACAAATAGCTATTGATCGTACAATGTATATCCCAAGAACTGTGTGAACTGCCAGGAATACAAACATAGTGAAGTTTCTTTATCTGTAAAACAGACATGTAACAATGGAACTTCACGTTAGGGCTTGTCATGAGGGAAAAGGAGAAGAGGACATGGAGAGTGCTTTGCTCAATGCCTGGCATTAGTGAAGATGATGGGGGTGGTGGTGATGGTGATGGTACTGATAACATGGTAAAGATGATGGGGGTGAAGATGATGAAGCCGGTAGTGATCATGGTTGTGATGATGACTGTGATGATGGTGATGATGTTGGTAACGATTGTAAATTGGCGACAGTGATGGTGGTGATTTTGTTGGTGTTTGTGGTTATGATGCTCATGGTGATGATAGTGGTAGCCATATTAGTGATGATAATGATGAGGACGGTGATGATGATTTTGGTGGTGGTGATGATGCTAGTGATGACAACATGCTCCCTGCTTTCAGGGCGCTCACAGTTCAGCACAGGCAGCAGACATCTGCCAGTTATCACATTACATTATGATCGGTAACGGAGGCACACACCACGTGCTGTAAGGCAAGTGGGGGTAATGATCAGCTCCACCTAACTGGATCAGGGAGGCTTCTCCAAGAAGAGGATGGTTGAGCCATACCGTCACAGGTGATCTATACAGTAAAAGCTGTGAAAGCCAGAATCTGTGTAAGGCAGAAACCTGTCAGAGAAGGAAAACTCAAATATTTTCCCCTAATTGAGAGTGATACAAAGTGGTAAGATGGCACCCTGTCAAAGGTGGAAAACTCGCGAGACCAGGAAAAACAAGGCCATCCCATCGAGGTCCGGCTCTCACAGGTTTCATTGTATATTCTAAGCTCACCAGATGTGTGCCAGAGGAGAAAGGCAATCCAGACCCAGAGAAAAGTGGCCTAACCAGATTGATTTTTTTGTGTGTGTATTTCAGCTGCAACTTGAGTTCCTTCCCTCCTTGGATGCTGGATTCCTCCCAGGTCCTGTCTGTTAACCTCTTTGGCAACCCCCTCACTTGTAGCTGTGAGTTGTCCTGGCTCCTCTTGGATGCAAAGAGAATCGTCCTAAAGAGGTAACACATTGACACAGCAGGCAACTAAGGAGCTGAGTCAGCCCTCAGAAGCCGAAGTGCTCTTGCTCATGTCTTACTCATGTAACCTTGCTGGGCTGGTTGGACAGTGCTGGCTGGGGCTGCCCTCCCCCATGTAGTTAGACTCAGGGACCCAGGTGATGGAGGCTCTGCCTCTGTTCCAGCCAGCCAGAAGGGGCCAAGAGCATGGAAGAACACATCAGGGAGGGTTTTTGTTTGTTTTTACTGTTGGAACAAAAAGGCATTTATTTTTCAGTGGAAATCCATATCACTATTATAAATGGGGGGCCCTGGTGGCACAGTGGTTAAGAGCTCGGCTGCTGACCGAAAGGTCAGCAGTTCAAATCCACCAGCCTCTCTTTGGAAACCATACGGGGCAATTCTACTCTGTCCTATAGGGTCTCTATGAGTCAGAATCAACTAGATAGCAATGGGTTGGTTGGTTGGTTATTATAAATGGGGTTGCTGGGGTTGTGCAAATGCTTAAGTGCTCAGATACTAGCTGAAAGATTGGCAGTTGGAACCTACCCAGAAGTGCCTCGGAAGATAGGCCTGGTGATCTGCCTCTGAAAAGTCACAGCCTTGAAAACCCTATGGAGCAGTTCCACTCTGCACACACGGGGTCGTCACGAGTCGGAAAAGATGTGACAGCAACTAAACAAACAACTGTAACTGAAAAACCAGTGTCACGTGCCATAAATAGGAACAGACAAAGAACACCTGGGAGGTTTTTAACAGGCTAGGTCTGGAAACCTGTTGCCCTCGAGTCGATTCCGACTCATAGTGACCCTATAGGACAGTGGGAGAGCTGCTCCCTAGGGTTTCCACGGAGCAGCTGGTGGATCTGAACTGCTGACCTTTTGATCAGCAGCCGAGCTCTTAACCACCGTGCCACCAGGGCTCCAGGTCTGGAAGTGGGGTACATTATTTCCACTTGTATTCCATTGGCCAGAAGTCAGTCAACAGGCCACACCTAACTGCAGGGGAAGCTGGGAACTGTAGTTGCAGTTTCTCGATGCTGTAACAAACTACCACAAAGCGGGTGGTTTTAAAGAACAGAAAATTTTCTCATAGGGCACTGGCAGAGCTATACGTTCTTGATTTCTCTCTCTCTGTTGCTCTCTTCTTTACTTCTCCTTCCTGGTTTCTTTCAACTTCTGTAGCCCCAGGCATTTGTTAGCATTCCTTGGCTTGTAGACAGATCCTCACTGTCTTCCCTCTGTGTGGGGGACTTTTTCCTTCTGTCTACTCTCCCCTTTTACAAGAAACCACTTAGAAGGGATTAGGACTCAGGCTCACCCTACTCCAATATGACTTAATTGATGTCTTCAAAGAAAGACCCTATTTCCCCAAACAAGGTCACATTCACAGGTACAGGGGTGAGGGCTTCAACATATCTTTTTGAGGGACACAATTCAATCCATAACAGTAGTGCAGCCATGTGCCTAGTAGGTAAAGGAAATAGGTTGGGTGAGCACTCTGCCAAAGCAGGTGCTATCATTGCCTGAGTTTTACTGTGGAGGGGACCAGGGCCCCAAAAGGTGAGGTATTTACTACTGATGCAGGAGGCAGGATCTGTCTTCTTCCAAAAGCTGCACTCCAAATCACTAGGCCCTACTGAATTCCCAAGGCTGAGCCTGGCGTCTTGCTCCTGGGTCATTCAGTCCAAGGCCAGTGGGCTTATAGAGCTCTCAAGGAACAGGAGAAAGAACTCCTGCGAAGAACTCCCATTGGCTATTGGCTGGAAGAGCAGTTTTTGCAACGGGGAGCCACACCCAGGGTAGCCACCAGCAAAGGATGGGAGCTGGGATCCCTTCCTCCTGCCCTCCCAGGCCTCTGCACTCTCCAACCAGCTCCACTAGCTAACTCTTCTCCTTGTAGCTCATCCTACCCCACCTCGCAGGAGTCTTTTCTTGCTTCCCACCCAAGCCCAGCTGTCAAGTGGGGCTCAGTCTCCCCTGCTCCTCCCTACCCCCTTCACGTTGCCTCCAAAGACAAGGCCCTCTGCAGTCATGAGTGTCACAGTGGTATTAATGAAGAGGCTGAGAAAGCCCGGCTTCACATCTAAGTTCTACTACTTATTACTGTTGACACTGGCTGAGTTACTTAACCTCTCTGTAAAATGGGAATCATAGTACCTACCTCATAGGGGTAGTGCAGATTAAATTAGTTGATATATGTTAAGTGCTAAGAACAGTCCGTAACACATGGCAAGCCCTCTGTAAATGTTATGTGTATGACTATGATGGCTAGTAGTCACTGCCAGGAAAGAGACAGATGACATCAAAATGGTAAACGGCACTTAGAGAATCTGGACCCCTTGCCACACTGCTTAGGCTTAGGCTCTGACATTTGGTCATGAGATCTTGAGCAGTTAGCTCCTCTTCCTGAGCTTAGGTTTCCTTCTCTGCCCAGTGGGCGTGATGACGGGATGATGAGAGTGAGGGTCACTGAGGTGATGCCTTTAGAGTGCGCAGCATGTGGTACCTGGCAGGAGCATGTTGACGAGGCTTGGAAAGAAGGAACTTCTGGGTTGAGGACTCAAAGCCCCGCACAGAAGCAGCCCACAATCCAAACTCCTTCTGACTGGTTTGCCTCTCTTCTAGGGCAGCAGACACCGTGTGCACACCCGCTGCAGGCTCCAGTGATGTCTTCTCAGCCCCTCTTTCTCTCTCCCAGCTGCCTGGTGTGTGCCAGTCGGACCAAAACGTCACCCTTGTTGCTTCAATCCCACCCTCCTCTGACCACCCCACCCATGCCCCATCAACCCAGGGCATGATGCTGGCCTCTCCCAGGGGTCCCTCCACCCCACCCAGCACAAACCCCCGCTCTCAGCCTGGGGGAGGCCAACAGAGTGTCACCAAGCCCCCCTCCCTTCCTGTGAATTCCCGGACACCAACTGTAGGGCCCCACAGCAGTGCCCGGGAGGGTGCTGCCCACTCCACCACCATCTCTACAGCGGGTTACCACAACTCCAGCGTCCCACCCAGGGCTGTGAGCACAGACAGGGCAGAGCACACAGGAGGACATGCTGTGGGGCTTGTTAGTGGGCCTCACATCTCAGCCGTCCCCACCTCATTCACCAGCACACAACGTGGTCCCTTCCCTTCTTCAGGAAACCCAGTGAGCCCGCCTCAGCCCAACCAGGGGACTCCCGAGGCCCCCCACCCGGGCCCCTCTGAGGGTGGGATCCCCATCATCTTGTTGGACGACTACAGCGAGGAGGAGGAGGGGGAGGCGCAGAAGGTTGCGGGGGCGTCTTACCCGGATGTCGCTTGTGATTATCACCCCTGCAAGCACCTCCAGACCCCGTGCGTGGAGCTGCAGAGACGCTCGCAGTGCCGATGCCCCGGCCTCAGCGGGGAAGACACCGTCCCAGACCCGCCCAAGCTCCAGGCGGTGTCCGAGGTGACGGACACGTCCGCGGTCGTCCACTGGTGTGCCCCCAACTCGGTGGTGCACGAGTACCAGATCCGCTACCACCCCGAGGGCCAGGTGGAGGCCCCGGCGGCGGTGAGGCAGGTCCACGCCACCGCGCGGCAGCACCCTCTGTTGGGGCTGGAGCCGGCCACCACGTACCGCGTGTGCGTCCTGGCGGCCAACCGGGCGGGCCTGAGCCGGCCGGGCGCCTCGGCGTGGAGGCGCCCGTGCGCCGCCTTCACCACCAGGCCCAGCTCTTCGCTGGTACTGGCGGCGCTGGGCGCCTGCAGCGGCCTGCTGCTCCTCAGCACCCTGGTGCTGGCCGCCTGTCTCTACCGGCGGGCCCGGGCGCCCCACCTGGAGCGCCACCACACGCACCTCGTGGCCTACAAAAACCCGGCCTTTGACTACCCGCTGAAGCTGCAGAACAACTAGCCCCGGACCCAGAGGCTGGCTGTTAGTGGCTGAAGGCGGATTTAGACTCCTGTCTCGAACGAGACTCGACTCCATGGATTCTTAAACTGAAGGAACTGGCTGCCTGTGTGCAGACAGGAATATATGGAGGGTCAAAACATCCCCGTCGGCTCTGAAGGCCTCTAAGTCCCGGGAAACCAGCACCCTTCAGACACACAGAACTGGCCACGCCGAGTTTCAGAGTCCCAGGAACAACTATGGCCTCCCGTTCTTCAACTTGACTCTTTTCCCCGAAACGTGGTCAATGCCAGACCACTCCCACTGCCTCCCAGACGTTTCCTGTGTTTCATTTGGGGTTTTCGGCACTAAGTGCCCCTCAGTATCCCCCAGAAAGAATTGTGCATGGAAGTAGGATGGGATAAAACAGAGAAATCGCATGATCCAGCCTCTTCTGCTATATAGGAAATGACATCCTCAGATCTTTTTAGGGAAGTTCCCTCAAAGTCAAGGGCAGCTCTGGCTAAGGCACAAAGAACGTGTTACCCAAGAAATCCACTCAGGTGGATTCCTGAAATTGGGAAGGAGGGGGAAGAGCTTGTAGTTAAGATTCCCTGAGCTCTTCTGAGTTTATTCACTGCATCTCAGGATATGACAGAAAAGTACTCCTAGCTTCAGAGTTAAAACCGCAGCCTTCTGGGTACTTCATTTATGAAACAGGAAAAGGCTGTCCTTTTTGAAGTCAGTGTTGGCTGCACTTCGGCTAAGACTAACTGAACAAAGAACTATGGACTCTTTTCGTAGGAAGCATAATAAGCCCACTTTGCAGAATCTTTTTCTTTTTTTTTTTTTAAAGAGGGACGAAATGGGCAAAATAGAACTTCAAAGGCTCCAGCTAGAGGCAAAAGTACTCCTCTGCTCCCAATTGCATCAAACAGTGATTTGTGTCTGAGTGTCAGATGTCTTACTATACTTTTACTTTTTCACTTTCATACAAACTTAAGCGATTCTATGACATTGGGAGCGCCATGTTACTAGATTTTAATTTTCTGTTAGCATTTATTTCTACTGTAAAAAAAAAACCTTGATTCCTATTTATCTTTTGTGTACATGTTAAACTGCACCAAAATGATGCTGCAGAAACTGCACATCCAGATCACCCTAGTAACTGAATTGTCTAGGTGAAAGAGATTCCTGAAATTCTAAGGTGGATCCCTAGTTTCATCATGTTTGAAACCAAGGGAATTGGAGTAAGTGATTTAAAAGATCTTTACCAACTCCTGATTAAAAATCACAAAGCCAAAGCCAAAAATGTGATTGTTGTTAGGTGCCTTCAAGTCAGTTCCCACTCATAGCGACCCTATGTACAACAGAACGAAACACTGCCCAGTCCTGCACTATCCTCAACATTGTTATGCTTGAGCCCATTGTTGCAGCCACCGTGTCAATCCATCTCAGTGAGGGTCTTCCTCTTTTTCGCTGACCCTCTACTTTACCAAGCATGATGTCCTTCTCCAGGGACTGGTCCCTCCTGATGACATGTCCAAAGTATGTGAGACAGTCTCGCCATCCTTGCTTCTAAGGAGCATTCTGGGTGTACTTCTTCATTTAAAAATGTGACTAATTAGTGTAAAGTCTTCAGACATGTAATTAAATTTTTTTTTCAGCCTATTGCTATCAAGACTTATTGAGTCTATTATGTGGAGGCATCAAAATCAATTTCCATCACCTTTTTTGAGTGTATATGTGTAAATATGCATTTAAATACACCTAATTTAATACAATTCCAATAGTTTTGTCAACTGGCAGAATTTGCATGTTTTATAACCATTAAGGATCCAAACACCTGAGGAGGAAACTTAGATGATCTTTCTAAGGGGTAAGGTGGAAAAAGTATATAAGGCTAAGTCAAAAAGTATTGCTACTAGTGTTCCAGTCATGCCTGCACGGGTTCATTCCAGACAAAATGTGTTTAAACACGTCTCTGTGATCAGTGATAGCTGCAGACAAGTTTTCCCAGTAATACACTTGTCTTAGTCTTGTCAGGGTGCCTTCAAAAAAACCAAAAAAGGATACTTTTTGTGCCGTGGGTAAAAACGATTTTGAGGTCAGGGCTAATACCAAATTTTTAACAAAACTCAAGTGGACATCTTCTCAAATCACTGAAGCTTTGCAACAAGTTTATGGAAATCCTGCCCCACATAAAACAAGTTTTAGATGTATCAAGCATTTTAAGGAAGGTTGGGAAGACCTCAAAGATGAGCCAAGAGAAGGAAGACTGCTTAGGTTACAGCGACTGTTTTTTGGGATTCCAAAGGGGTAATCCTGAAAGATTTTCTCAAAGGACACAGGATGATCACAGGGGCCTATCATGAAGAAGTTTTAAGAAAACTGAAAACTGTATTGGTGAGAAAAAGGCCAGGAAAGTTATGTCGAACCATTTTTTTCTCCATCATGACAATGCACCTGCTCATTATTCGAGGGTAGCAAGGGCTGTCCTATGAGAATTTTGTTGGGAAACCTTACCCCATCCACCCTACAGCCTTGATCTTGTCCCTTCAGACTTTTTATTCCCAAAACTCAAAGAACATTTAAAAGGAACACAATCTGAGTCCTCTGAGGATGTCAAAACTGCTGTTTTTTGACATGGTGTAAACTGAAGAGTACAGAATTCTTTAGGGGAAGGGTTAGAGAGATGGAAAGAAACACCATCTTCAGAAGTGTATAGACCTAGATGGAGGATATGTCAAGAAACCATAGCTTCACATTTTGATATTTTTGTTTAATAAAGCGTTCTATGATTTTGTAGCAATACTTTTTAAGTTACCCTCATATTAGCTGGAGTCAGATTAAGACCTTAATACTAAAGAGATTATTGGTCTAACCCCTAAACCACTCCAAATAGCATCAACCTGTTAAAAATCATTGCCAGCGAATTGATTCTGACTCATAGTGACCCTACAGGACAGAGAACTGCCCCATAGGGTTCTCAAGGCTATAACCTTTACAGAAGCAAACTGCACATCTCTCTCCCAAGGAGTGGCCAACCTTTCCATTAGCAGCCCAGCGCTTAACCACTGCACCACCAGGGCTCCTTACATAGCACCAATGCTAAACCATATATGTATGTAATGAAGCCCAAAGTTCTAATTTTTCCCACAACTATTTTATTGTTTTTTAAAGTTCTTCCATTTTTAAACACAATTTTTGTGTGCTCAGACTCTATGTGCCTGTTGGGTGGGCCACAGCAGGACTTCTACCTCCTGCCTCACCACCTCCCAGGCTATGAGACCTTACAGGTACCAGAGTGGGCAGAATGGCTGGCAACACACCACCTTTCTCTTCTTTCTCACTCCCCAGATTCAGTGGCAGAGTCGCTGGCTGCAGGCTTCCGTGAGGTTCCCAGCCACGGGCAGCTCCACTGCTAGTCTGGGAACAAGGGAGGCAGGAGCTGCAGGCAATGGAGGGGCACGCTGATACAAGGATGCCAGCACCAAGAGGCCTGAGCTTTGCTTATAACTTCCCATTTAAATTTGACACAGCTCATCTTTTGTGCTAGTCCTTCTCTCTTCAAAAATGATTTCTTAAAAAAATCTTCTCTCTCTCACAGGTAGAAACACCTTCTAAACAAATTATTACAAGTGTATTATTTCACATTTTGTACAAATGAGTATTTAAATGAGAGCCTCTAAAACTATTAAGCAAATACTTTCCTTTGTACAGAGGTTTTTAAAGAAGGAAACTGGTTTAATTATTTTATTATAATTGCTTTTTCCAAATTTTGCCAGATGCTTTCACAATAGTGTTATTATAAAAAGTCTGTTTTAATTAGATAGAAAACAAATAAGTTATATTGCATTTAAAAATGATGTCACTTTTCAACTTGGATAATACATGATGAAATTCCCTGCCTGTATCACCAAACATAATCTGCTCGCAGGACTGAGGAGAGGATAGACCTGGACTTCAAAGTACCACAAACCCTTCCCTTCTGCTTTAAATCTCTCTAAGCTTAAAAACTCACAAACCAAAGCCAGCCACTGGACCTGGGAGTCTGAAGGAGCGGTTTGCCTTGTTTATGGCACTGCTTTGTTCTATTACAACCCTCCCCCTCACCTCACAACACACACACACACACACACACACACACACACACACACACACACACACGCTAAATCAATAGGGGCTGAGTGTAATAACACTGTTCCATTATCTAGTTAACGCATCAAAAATGTGGTTTCTTAACAAACATAACATCATCCCGTGTCAACAAAATACTGACTGTTCTGTGAATTTAACTGACGTATTTTTATGCAAATAGCAAGCCTTCTACGTTTGTTTGCCAACTGCACCACCCCCCCAAGGTATTTTTTAAGTGCCACTATGCCAATCTTTTTTTACATGTTGCTGTAAAAAAAAAGAGCATAGCGCACTTATGAAAATACTTTGGGGGAGAGCGCAGTTGCCAAACAAATGTAGAAGGTGCGTGTTATTCGTGTAACACAGGTGATTTAACTAGCTGAAAGTACGCTGCAATGACATATGAATAAAAGACCGCCAGTATGTTCTGAAGCGAGAGCTGCATTTCCACAAGCACTGGCTACACTAAGGTACCGTCCCTCTTGCAAAATCTCTCAACACTGACTGACAAAGAAGTTCAGGGCAGATGGCAGAGTTGGGGGCTTTGAAATCACTTGAACTGTACAAACCTAGAAGAGGATCAAGCTCCTGACCTCAGCACCATGAAGGGACCCTTGGCACCAAGGCTCCAGGAGCTAGAGAATCCAAACAGCTGACCAAAGTCACTGGCTACCATCAAGGAAGTCTGTTCCTTGTATTAAAATAATGGAAATGAAAACAATCTCTTTGGAAGTCCAGCAGTTAAATATTAAACTTTTGGTCCAGAATTGAGCATCAAGGCCGGATTAAAAGAATGTAAACGAAGGCCCTTTGTAACTTTAAAATGCTAACCTCATCACAGAGGAGCTAGGAGTATCACACTGAGTTATTACATAGGATAAAGA